TTTCTGCTATCTGTATCACTTTTCAGATTTAAAATCTGACATTCAGTTCTCTTACAATTCAATGAGAATTACATCATTGAATTTCCAGTGAATCATTTCTCTCATGCACTTATTACAATTGACAAAAGTTATAAATGATGTCACCAGATATTTGTGCCTGAAGCCATGAAGCATTATGATTCCTGGTTTTGGAAAACAGAGGATTAACCAAAGATTAAGATGATGAAATGATAAGCAACTAAAAGATTTTATATTAGAATTATAAGGATTAGTGTCAAATTGTTTTTAAGGCCTATATTTTTATAAATAGTTATTAAAGAGACTTTTTTTCACAGGTTGAACAGGTTGAATACTAAAATCAAGAGAAATGTATCCCTGAAGTTATTTGAAAGTTTTAACCAAATAAATCCTGCTGTGAATTTGTTGATGCCAATACTATTTAAAAAGTTTATGTAAGCTTTTTATACGCCCACATGGAAATGTTGACATATATTGCTGTTGCCCATGTTTTTCGGTCCATCAACATTTCTTGTGAACACAATAGAGACTAGAGCTTTCATGAAATGTGATGATTTATATTAATGAGATCTTGGACTTTGACAATTTTTCAAAAAACGGATTTTGAGTTATTTCCCTTGACTTAGAAAAAGATAGCTTGCCAGGCAAGATAATATACATCACTGGCAGCTGTCAGAAATGATAACTGAGTCTTGAATGGCTAAAATATGGATTTTTTTCATAATGCATAATGTAGAACAGTGGGATGTAAAACTCTATTTCAAATAATTAGCTCAATCAGGTGTAGAACAGTGGGATGTAAAACTCTATTTCATATCATTAGCTCAATCAGGTGTAGAACAGTGGGATGTAAAACTCTATTTCAAATAATTAGCTCAATCAGGTGTAGAGCAGTGGGATGTAAAACTATATTTCAAATAATTAGCTCAATCAGATGTAGAGCAGTGGGATGTAAAACTATATTTCAAATAATTAGCTCAATCGGGTGTAGAGCAGTGGGATGTCAAACTAAATTTCAAATAATTAGCTCAATCAGGTGTAGAGCAGTGGGATGTAAAACTATATTTCAAATAATTAGCTCAATCGGGTGTAGAGCAGTGGGATGTAAAACTCTATTTCAAATAATTAGCTCAATCAGGTGTAGAGCAGTGGGATGTAAAACTATATTTCAAATAATTAGCTCAATCAGATGTAGAGCAGTGGGATGTAAAACTATATTTCAAATAATTAGCTCAATCAGATGTAGAGCAGTGGGATGTAAAACTATATTTCAAATAATTAGCTCAATCAGGTGTAGAGCAGTGGGATGTAAAACTATATTTCATATAATTAGCTCAATCAGGTGTAGAGCAGTGGGATGTAAAACTCTATTTCATATAATTAGCTCAATCAGGTGTAGAGCAGTGGGATGTAAAACTATATTTCATATAATTAGCTCAATCGGGTGTAGAGCAGTGGGATGTTAAACTCTATTTCATTTAATTAGCTCAATCGGGTGTAGAGCAGTGGGATGTAAAACTATATTTCATATAATTAGCTCAATCAGGTGTAGAGCAGTGGGATGTTAAACTCTATTTCATTTCAGTTTTTCTCATCTAACCCAGGATTAAATAAAAGTCATATCAATATGATAACTACCTTATTTTATGATAAGGATGTAAAACTCCATTTAATAAAAGTCATAGTAATACATGCTGTAAACTAGAACCAACGTAATGTAAGAATGTTTTTATGTTAATTTGACATTCCAGGTAATTTTGTGACAAGTTGCAGAATTAGAAGGATGTAAAACTTCATGTCATTTCATTTTTGACAGTAAATAAAGGATTTGCTAAGAGTCATGTTAGAACATGACACAACTAAACACTTTGGATTTAAACCATGATATTTCTACGAATGTTTTAACGTTAATTTGACTTGTGGCGTGTGAAATGAACACGATAAAAACATGTGATGTTGCAGAGAGTTAAAAGATTTTTTAGGCTCGTACGGCCTTTTTGCCTTTGTACAGATTAGCCATGACATTTTAGAAAACTCATTTGGTGATTCCACATGTCTTGTGAGAAGGATTGCCGATTTAAATGAATTCTGATTGAAGACATGATACATTTTATTAGCTTCTCCGCTTCTCTATTTCAGCTTTTCTCATTTTATTACTGTTATTTTTTATACCTGACAAATTTATGACTTGGCTTTTGTCAAATATTCAAGTGAAGAAAATATCATCAAGGATTATTATTATTGTCTTCATGATTTTTTCAAATAATTTTTTCACTGTTTTAGGATTTGCAATGTATTGCTTGATGTATTGATGTTCAAGAAATAATATTCAGAATCCTATTGCTATTGTATAATACTGTATTTGAAATAGCAGTCTGATTGTTTCGTTGCTCAAATTTATGAAAACTATACACGAAAATCTAGAGAAATGCGTCCTTTAACTATAAAACTTTAATAAGTTTGAAATAAAAAAAATCCTACCATTCAATTTTTGAACATGCAAGGAATAGAAGAATGCAAAATTAGATTTTATTTCATTATCCCAAAAATGCAAACCCCATTTTTGTTTTCACCTAGAATATTAAAATTCTCCATTTCGTTTGAATTCCTTTACCCAATAAAAATGTTATTATTTTATTTTCATTAATCCAAGAATAGTAACATTATAATATCAGAATTCTAAATTTTATTTTATTTCATTACCCTACTTTATATATAACATTGATATTTTCAATGTTTCTGCAAATATTAATTGGAAATCGTTCAGATCAATTTTCCAATGAATGAACTAATCAAGTGCATCCTTTACAATTAAACATGTTGAACTTTATTGGGAATATTGTCAAGCATATCCGCAAGGCAGAACACATTTTCACAAAACAGCAGGTACTTAATTGCTTATTGATTATCTGATGAAATTCAAATTGGAAAATTGTGGAACATTTTCTTTTTCAAAAAAATTGATCAAAATCACCAACTGACAATTTAGTTTGCACCAGGGTCATTTTCCAACCTTCCAGAGGGGAAGTAGGCAAAATTTGTTCTAATAAAAATGAATTGTTTTTAGTTGAAATCTGTAGAATTAGTAGGACATGTATTTCACTACAATTTTGCATTTAATCTGTACATTAGTAAATACATAATACATAAATACATAGACATATTTCTCTACAATTTGGTATTAATTTGGTATTTATTTTGCTTAAATCTGTATATAGAAGCATAACACATTGGGCTGTTGAAATAAAATTGACTTATTTGTGGATTTTACTCTAATGTTAGATAATGAAGTTTTATGTCCTACTGTTCTGTATGTTTTGAATTATTGAAATAAAATGCCATATTAATTTGTTCCTTACCAGTATTCAACAAATGAAATAAAACTGAGTTTTACATCCCACTATCTACGTAATTATAGAACCATATTTTACTAATGAAGATAGAGTTTTACATCCCACTATTCTGTACTATATTTTACTAATGAAGATAGAGTTTTACATCTCAATATTCTGTACTATATTTTACTAATGAGATAGAGTTTTACATCCCACTATTCTGTACCATATTTTACTAATGAAGATAGAGTTTTACATCCCACTATTCTGTACCATCTTTTACTAATGAAGATAGAGTTTTACATCCCACTATTCTGTACCATATTTTACTAATGAAGATAGAGTTTTACATCCCAATATTCTGTACTATATTTTACTAATGAGATAGAGTTTTACATTCCACTATTCTGTACCATATCTTACTAATGAAGATAGAGTTTTACATCCCACTATTCTGAACCATATTTTACTAATGAAGATAGAGTTTTACATCCCAAAATTCTGTACTATATTTTACTAATGAAGATAGAGTTTTATATCCCACTATTCTGTACTATATTTTACTAATGAGATAAAGTTTTACATCCCATAATTCTGTACTATATTTTACTAATGAGATAGAGTTTTACATCCCACTATCCTGTACCATATTTAACTAATGAAGATAGCGTTTTACATCCCACTATTCTGTACCATCTTTTACTAATGAAAATAGCATTTTACATCCCAATATTCTGTACCATATTTTACTAATGAAGATAGAGTTTTACATCCCACTATTCTGTACCATATTTTACTAATGAAGATAGCGTTTTACATCCCATTATTCTGTACCATATTTTACTAATGAAGACAGAGTTTTACATCCCAATATTCTGTACTATATTTTTCTAATGAAAATAGCGTTATACATCCCACTATTCTGTACTATATTTTACCAATGAGGATAGCCTTTTACATCCGAATATTCTGTACTATATTTTACCAATGAAGATAGTCTTTTACATCCCAATATTCTGTACTATATTTTACTAATGAAGATAGAGCTTTACATCCCAATTTTCTGTACTATATTTTACTAATGAAGATAAGGTTTTACATTCCACTATTCTGTACCATATTTTACTAATGAAAATAGCGTTTTACATCACATTTTTCAGTACCATCTTTTACTAATGAAAATAGCATTTTACATCCCACTATTCTGTACCATCTTTTACTAATGAAAATAGCGTTTTACATCCCAATATTCTGTACCATCATTTACTAATGAAGATTTACATCCCAATATTCTATACCATCTTTTACTAATGAAGATAGAGTTTTACATTCCACTATTCTGTACTATATTTTACTAATAAAGATAGAGTTTTACATCTCAATATTCTGTACTATATTTTACTAATGAAGGTAGAGTTTAACATCCCACTATTCTGTACTATATTTTACTAATGAAGATAGAGTTTTACATCCCACTATTCTGTACTATATTTTACTAATGAAGATAGAGTTTTACATCCCACTATTCTATACTATATTTTACAAATGAAGATAGAGTTTTACATCCCACTATTCTGAACCATATTTTACTAATGAAGATAGCGTTTTACATCCCATTATTCTGTACTATATTTTACTAATGAAAATAGCGTTTTACATTCCACTATTCTGTACTATATTTTACTAATGAAGATAGCCTTTTACATCCCAATATTCTGTACTATATTTTTTCTAATGAAAATAGCGTTATACATCCCACTATTCTGTACTATATTTTACCAATGAGGATAGCCTTTTACATCCGAATATTCTGTACTATATTTTACCAATGAAGATAGTCTTTTACATCCCAATATTCTGTACTATATTTTACTAATGAAGATAGAGCTTTACATCTCAATTTTCTGTACTATATTTTACTAATGAAGATAAGGTTTTACATTCCACTATTCTGTACCATATTTTACTAATGAAAATAGCGTTTTACATCACATTTTTCAGTACCATCTTTTACTAATGAAAATAGCGTTTTACATCCCACTATTCTGTACCATCTTTTACTAATGAAAATAGCGTTTTACATCCCAATATTCTGTACCATCATTTACTAATGAAGATTTACATCCCAATATTCTATACCATCTTTTACTAATGAAGATAGAGTTTTACATTCCACTATTCTGTACTATATTTTACTAATGAAGATAGAGTTTTACGTTCCACTATTCTGTACCATATTTACTAATGAAGATAGAGTTTTACATCCCACTATTCAGTACTATATTTTACTAATGAAGATAGAGTTTTACATCCCACTATTCTGAACCATATTTTACTAATGAAGACAGCATTTTACATCCCAATATTCTGAACCATATTTTACTAATGAAGATAGAGTTTTACATCCCATTAATCTGTACTATATTTTGCTAATGAAAATAGCGTTTTACATCCCAATATTCTGTACCATCTTTTACTAATGAAGATAGAGTTTTACATTCCACTATTCTGTACCATCTTTTACTAATGAAAATAGCGTTTTACATCCCATTATTCTGTACCATATTTTACTAATGAAAATAGCGTTTTACATCCCAATATTCTGTACCATTATTTACTAATGAAGATTTACATCCCAATATTCTATACCATATTTTACTAATGAAGATAGCGTTTTACATCCCAATATTCTGTACCATATTTTACTAATGAAGATAGAGTTTTTCATCCCATTATTCTGTACTATATTTTGCGTTTTACATCCCACTATTCTGTACCATCTTTTACTAATGAAGATAGAGTTTTACATTCCACTATTCTGTACCATATTTTACTAATGAAGATAGAGTTTTACATCCCACTATTCTGTACCATATTTTACTAATGAAGATAGCGTTTTACATCCCACTATTCTGTACTATATTTTACTAATGAAGATAGAGTTTTACATCCCACTATTCTGTACTATATTTTACTAATGAAGATAGAGTTTTACATCCCACTATTCTGTACTATATTTTACTAATCAAGATCCTTGCAATCCATAATCACTTGATATAAGCCACCCACTATTTTTTATGAAGTGTGCCTTTCATCTTTAATCCTTTAGAATTTCCAAATGGAATCATACAGCTTTTCATGTTTTTCTAAAAAGGTCAAGAGTTATAGAAATTTCAAAGTTTTTCTACAAATTTGCTTGAAATCCTCTAAATTTGTGGGTTTTTTTTAATGAAAGCATTTTTTTGTAATTAAGTCTGGATAAGATGAACATCATAGTAATTTGTCTGAAATGCTTCAACCTTTCCTCCCACCCGCCATGATGTTTCTTCTTAAAAAGGGAAAGTTAAGTCTATTATTACTTTTTGTCGAGCTCAAATTACGACTGGGTCTTTTCATGTAGACAAATTAGATATTAAAAAAGCAGCAATTCATGCTACAAATTAGTTTATTTTTATAATCATGAGCTATATAGTATTATTATTTTATGGATAAAAAAAATAATAATTTTAGACAAAAACATAGAGCCACAAATTATCTAAGTTTACAAGTTAAAATAACAACTCGTCTTTTCTTGATACTCAGTCATATATAGAAAAGATATGTATATAAATAGAAAGTGAAATCTCTAGTTTATGTGGTATATTTAAAATGAAATCATGAATATTTTTTGGTGTCGCTTTTGACTAATTTTAGGGTCTGTTTTCATTTTTTTGGGAGTCATTTATGACTGAAATTTTGTTTCGTTTCGACCACATTATTGGGTATGTTTTAACCAAAAATATTGGTTCTGGTTCCTTGTAAAATAATTTTGATTTGCCAAAGACCAGTGACTAGTGAAAAGTAAGCCTACCTGGTGCCACTGTCATTGCTGCTCACCATACATGTGTACAGGTCAGGAAAACAAATCTGGAGATTTGCCTTGAAAAATCTGGAGATTGGGTGAAAAGTCGGGAGATTTTTCCAAAGCGCGTAAATTCGTGATTTGAAACTCCAAATTGATTCTTTTTTTTTTTCAAATAAGCTTTAAGCCTTGTAAATTAATTAAATTGATCATGGGCCTACATGACACAGTTAAAATTAACAATCTATAATTATGGATAATTCTAGAAATAGTGCCTGATATTTTAAATTTAGGGGCCCGAAAAAAATTTGATATTATCATTCTTCAGTATTGATTGAATCAAAAATAATGTCAAGGTGAAATGATGTTTGAAAACAGTGCTCACATAAAATTGGAGGTTAGAAGAGCTGACATGGAAAAAGCATCTGGTCTTTCGGATGGGACAATAAACAAAGGCCCTGTGTGCTAGAGGCTGTGCTTGTTAAATATCTCTAGACAGTTGGAAATCATAAAAAATGTAGGCTAATGTCATTGTACTGGAAAAATTTCCCTCATTGTGCACTGATGGCATTGCTCTTCTTCACTACTAGCCCAGTGGAAGGTAAAAATGAAAACTCTGTGCTATGCAAAATTATATACACATCTTATTAGCTAAATGTATTAAAATATGTTTCTTTCTCTCTTTCCTTTCTTTTCTATGATCATATTTTTTACATGAACTTTCCACTTGATTTTTAAACACTTCACGAAATGTCAAAAACTCTTCAAGATGGAAAATATTTTTCATTGACCTTTAAAATCAAATAAAAACAATTAAAAATCAATGGTTGAAATATTATTCTACATAATGGTTGTCTCAAGTGTTATTTTTCTCTCAATATCTAAATGTTAGTTTTTAATGTCTTCAATGTTTTTATAGCAAATTTAATGCACTGTTGGATTTGAAACTCCTGAATGTTTTAGTGCACTGTTGGATTTGAAACTCCTGAATGTTTTAGTGAACTGTTGGGTTTGAAACTGGAATGTTTTAGTGAACTGTTGGGTTTGAAACTGGAATGTTTTATTGCACTGTTGGGTTTGAAACTGGAATGTTTTAGTGCACTGTTGGATTTGAAACTCCTGAATGTTTTAGTGCACTGTTGGATTTGAAACTCCTGAATGTTTTAGTGCACTGTTGGGTTTGAAACTGGAATGTTTTAGTGCACTGTTGGGTTTGAAACTTGAATGTTTTAGTGCACTGTTGGGTTTGAAATGTATAAATTTTATTTAGGTTGAACATTTATATCTGGCCATGCACCATTGGGATGGAAAATTTTAATTTGATCTAAGTTTAACAACTTGTCTTTATGCCCTGTTGGCTTTGAAACTAATATTTGTTGTATGCACTAGAGTCATAAAAGAATATTCACTGAAACAGATAATGAGTTGAAAAACCCAAATGTAAAATAAACATTAATTGCAGTGAGACTTTCTTAAAGGGGTGCTCAGTTGAAACACCCAATTACCAAATAAACACTTTTAGTATTTATAGTCTTTTAGAGGGGTGTCAAGACGAAGCTAAATGCTAAATAAACATCATCAGCATGTAGAAGCTCTTAAATGGGTGCTAAATTATCCAACCTAAATACAAATAATCTCTTTCACTTATGTGGACTCTCTGAAAAGGATGTGGAATGGACAAATAGAGCCAAGAGCTCATCTCATGACCTGCCAACAAAGTCTACAACTAGCTCTGAGATTTCACATTTGAGTAATTTCTAAAATGACATTAGAAAACCCAGACAAGTTTCACATTACCACTCTCTGTAACAACCTTAACACTTTCAAAACTCGGCAGAAATATCTGATTGTTTCATGTTTGAACAAATTAATGGGACAGATTTAACTAAGCTCACTACTTGGTTTGAGGGTGTTGAAATGAGATTGGTTAGATAAAAAAATTAGTACCAATCACATTGCAGTTTAGGTAGAACAGAAATGAAGAAGGGGTGAAGGTCATTTAAACAAAACACTACTGATGGAAGTGGATGCCAGTGATGTACACTAATTACTAATTGACAGGAAAAACTATAGGAATTTAAGATATGACTCCACTATATTCAAAGAGTTTTGTGTCTCCATTTAAATTTCATTTCATTGATGTTCGCAAACAGAGTGTCCATAACAAATGATTTGATTGGCTTCGATTTTTCTTCAAAGATTATCGGGCCAATTTTGAATGGACATTATTTATGTATGAATGTGTGATTTCCCTTACTTGTAATATCAAGGCCTTGAGAAAGTATGACAAATGGTGGCGTGGTTTGTATACAATGGGTTTCTATAAATTGTGTTCTGCTTTCAGCAAAGTCCCAGTTTGTTATCGAAATGTCCATTCTGTTTTTTTTTGCAGGGCGTTCGTAAGCGAACGCCCTGCTTTGTTTTCGAATTGATTTTTTTTTTTTTTTTTTCGTCCACGGCAGGTCGGTTTTTTCGGCAACGGCAATAGGTACGGGAAAACGGACTTCATGGCGTTTTGTAACTCGTGGCTAATCACAGTTTAAATGTAAAACGAATACTTTCTGAGCAACATTACGCAATGTTGCAACAAACGGAAAATGGACTCTAGAGGGCGTGTTTATCAACCGATTTTGATCGGGTTTTCTGCATCGTATTTCTTGTAACAAAGGACAAATGATAGCAGTTGAAAATTTTCGATTTTCGAAAATTCGTTGCATATTTTTTTGCCGAAATTAATCGAAAAATACTATTTCGGTTGTTATTGGACGGATTGAGTTGAAACTTACGTGGTGTAGACCGCCAGCATAGAGACATAAAAGTACACATTCAAATTTTTTTTATCACTTCCGGTTTCGATCTTTGTACTTCCGGTGGTATCACTTCCGGTGGAATTGAGTTATGTCAAAAATAACATATGCATTATATTACCAGTCTTAACACAAACTTATTAAACTAAAAAAATCTGCACCGGAAGTAACATGTTGGCCGCCATTTTGGTTTGCCTCATTTTGCAGAAATTGCTATTCAGAGACCATTTTTCATCTGATTTGCATAACTTTTGTGTCAAACGATACGTTTAAAGTCCGTCTACAATCCTTAGGCAGCATAATTTTGATTTTCGGTTTTGCCTTTTTTGTACGACCAGATGTTTTTTTTTCAAAGTTTGAACGCGTATATCTCATGACCTTGACCTTTGATGACCTTCATATTTACTACGATGATAATATGTGACCTTGTCTATCTGATGACCTTTTGACCTTTGGGGTCAGACAACTCTTTCCGATTTTACAGGGGTCTAAAAATGGACCATTTTGAGTCTTTGCAGTGCTATATCTCGGTCCCTAATAGAGATATGACGATAATTCTTTCGATTTTGCAAATTCAAAACCTCATTCACTTAACATGGGACTATTATTAGATAAATCGGCTAATTAGATTAAACTGGCTGTCAACCCCAATATAAATCAAAGTTTAAGTAGTTTTAAAGACACCCTCCCTTTTATATTTCTTTAAAATGTTTTGTGTCCATTTAAGCTATATAAATAGGTTCCTAGGATGGATTGAACCTTGTTATACTGTAAGTAAAGCTTACAGAAGCACATTAAAGGCATACCCCCACTTAATTTCCCAACTTTCTTATTTTTTATCCAAATTTCACCAAACTTGGTATAATCCAATTCTAAATTTGATGGATATATCGAATTTGCGTATTGCGCATGTGCATTACTAACTTTCTTATTTCTTATCCGAATTTCATCATACTTGGTATTCATGTGTATAATCGAAATCTAAATTTGATGGATATATCGAATTTGCGTATTGCGCATGCGCATTACTAACTTTCTTATTTCTTATCCGAATTTCATCAAACTTGGTATTCATGTGTATAATCGAAATCTAAATTTGATGGATATATCGAATTTGCGTAGTGCGCATGCGCATTGCCAACTTTCTTATTTATTAACCGATTTTCATCAAACTTGGAATGTATGTGTA